TGATAACAAAAATGATAATAATAAAAACTATAATAAACTTCAACTTACAATGTATCACAAAGAAATTATTGATGATTATTTAATGACTATAATAGTATAGTTGTTATTGATTTTATAATGTTGTTTTAGTATGAAATTAAGTGGTAAGTGGTGATACATGAACACTTTAAAACATAGTTGACATTTTACTTAAGAGTATCTGAGAAACTGACATAATCACGAAAAACTTAACTTTGACCAATGAACAACGAAAATGAGGTCAAGGTCAGGTGAACCCTGTCAGACGCACATGTACACTTTATAATCATCATTCCATACATCGAATACAGATGACCTACTAGTATTACTTATAGTATATGAGAAAATAACACGGACACGAAATATAAACGATGAACCATTAAAAAGAGATCAAGTTCAGATCAACCGTGTCAGACTGACATGTACACCTTGAGGTCAATATAAAATAGAATCTGAGTTTCTCAAATGGATTTTTTTTTTAATTTCATGACTTATGTAACAAATATTGGCCAATTTCCATAAGTTTCAGCTGGAGCTGAATAAAATCTGAAAAGTCATACTGTTTGGATTTGAGATTCCTGTATGAATTTACATGTATACTACCAGACATAAACTTAAGGATGTCAGGTACACGTCTGTTTAAGAAAAAGGCACCCTGTGAACGTGTAAACCAAAGTGGAAAATTACGACCAATAAGATGATATGAAGTTGTAATAAATCCACTGTATGGCCCAATGTATGAAAGAACCTTAGTGAGCGCGCTCACATACCCCACGTCCCCACATTGTCATTGGAGAAATAAAATAAGTGTACGAAAAAAAATTGTACCAGAAAAAAAAATTGAATCATAATTTCCTGTCAATATGCACATATACATAGTATGTCCTTATTATCTACACAGTTTCATGAAATTCTGTTGTGTGGTTTGAGAGGAGTTGCGATGACAAGAAACAGGACTGACGGACTGACGGGCGGACAGACGGACGGACAGACGGATGGACGGGTCAAAAACATTTTACCCTCCGCAACTCGTTGCTTGGGGTATAATTAAAAAATATATATAAACTAAGATCATAAATTTAATTCAATTTTTGAATACGGGGATTTTCAAATATTTTGGGTGTGGTAAAATTGGTATGATTAATGTTATAAAACAGAAGGATTTTTTTACTGCTTTGTAACCGTCCACTAGAGTAGACTGCAGAACAATAGAAGTCATTCAGAGTGTGATGAAACATTGAAAATATTTATCTCAAACTGATAATACTGAGAGTAAAATTGATTTTACTACCAAAATTTCAAATTACCATTTTCGTAAAACAAGCCGTCACGTCTAAATCATTAGGCACTTGCATGCAACGATAGTACAATTAAGGCCCTCCCCAAAAGATAATTTCCTTATATTTGGCATTTTCGTAAGATATTGTTGCAGATCATCATAACCTTTGTGAAATCTTGAAATCAATGTAAAAATACATCATTGTTTTAAATGTTCATGTCCAGAACATTTCTTTTTTATCCTTTGGCATAGGCTTTCGATATTAGGCATATAGGTGCTACACCTCAAGACCATGTGTCGTGAACCATTGGAGATAACCTCTGAACTTAACGTAAGCTGATCTGACTTCAATGTCAAATAACGCCTGTCCACGCCAAAGCTAAATATATTTTTGCTTACCTCGGCAAGACTTTCTTAAGGTAGCACAATACAAAGATTTTTTCACCCCCCATTAGACAACTTTAAACTGATGTAATTTCTTTCATCCAGCTTTAAATTTTATAAATGAGGTACCAAAAGAAAGAAGAAAGATTAATCTTTCAAATAGTGAAAACGTCAATTTGACATAATTATTACATAATTAATTATTATGTAATTAGTTGCTATATTGAGATGTCCACACTTGAATGAAAATAGCTTCTTTGTTATTCATAGCATCCCAAAATATTTTATAGAATCTTGTATAACACAGTTTGACCTCCAAAAGAGTGTCTCAGATTTTTCCTATTGTATTTCATTCTCTCATAAACCTTCAATGAAGTTTGCAACCTAAATTCATAAGAGATCACTAAATTTAATTGGGTATAAAATTTGTTCTATTGATGTTTTTGGAAATCTGAGACACCATTTTGAAGATAACTGGTCAATGAACAACATGTGTGAAAATCAGACATATAGGGGCACCCATCTAGGAGCTAAATTCATTTAAAACTACATTTTCATGACAAAAATGAATGTGTCACAATTGAATAAATAAGGATTTTCCTACTAGTACCCCATTAACTTCAATATAATACACACATGTACCATTTGGATATTTCAGGATTGGCCTTCAATCATAAATCAATTAGGTTTTGACCAGTAAGAAAGCATTCAATTTCAGCAATTCTAAATATATAGAGAAAATGCACACCCTATGCATCAAAAACCAGATCTGGCGGGAGATGTTATATCATTATTGACCTTGTTGCAAGTTAGTTGCTACTGAAATGGTCAAAACTCCGCCCACCATGATAAACCTTTTACTACTAATGATCTCAGAAGTTTAATTACACATTGCATTTACTTTTTTCAATATGGATTTTATTCGTTTAGTACATAACAAAATATATTTTGTTTTTTTATTGTTACAAAAAGTAAGTTATGCATGTGTACACAAAATGATCAGTTGGTCAGTTTAGGGGATCCTTATGGGGGATTTTTAGAATTGTAATTGTATACAAGGACAATATGGTGTTTTACACAAAGTAGATTTTGTTCATTTTTGCAGTTTGAAAATGAAATATTTAATTTGTATTTTCTTTTAAAAAGAATTCACTTCTAAACATTCTCCCCCAAGAAATTCCAGTACATCAATTGTTATACAATTACATTTGTTTAATTTCTGTACATTTATATTTTGATTCCCTCTATATCTCCAAATTGTTACTTTGGTTTTTTTCTCCTGGCAGCTCCATTAATGAAATGTATTTTTATTTGGAATTCGTTATCTTCATTTTTACATTAATCCCTAATCCACCTCTTTTTCGTAACTGTTATTTGTATTGCTGGTCAGTGGTCATAAAGCTATCAAATGATTCTATTGATTAACCACAAAGTACTGCCCACATGTTCTTATCTTGTATCAGTCAGACACATGCATTTGTTTATAAAACTAATTATCATCAAAACTCATTAACAGTTCAAGATATGTAAATGAATTTTTCTTCTGTGGTTTTGGAATATTAAGAAGTAACAAAAACAGCTGAAAATGAAATTTTGATAAAATTTAGTTGCTTTTGTATTGTGCTACCTTAATGCAACAATTGGGTAAAATGCAACCGTTAGGTATCTCAATGGTTCAGACCCACATTCCTAAATCTTATATAGTTTTAACTGTCTTGATAAGACCTTTCTAGTTCACAATAAGTTTTAATCCTGGGGGACATGCCCACCCTGTGCAAGTCATTAATTGTTTTAAAATAGCTTAAAAAGTGGACTTAACCCCACCTCTAAACAATAAATATTCTTATTTATCATTACAAGACTTTTCTAAGTTTTTAAACAGTTCAATCTTGTTCATTTTCTTTTACATGTTTTAGATAAAATACTTTAAATTGTTTCTTATCAACTGTTTAATATGATATCATACCCTAATTATTTCAAATCATAAAATGTACAAATATGCAAGTGTTTTTTTTTCATTTATGGGTTGCACCAATTGTCATGGTAAGCATATCCAACCAATAATTCAAAGTATCAGAAAAAACAGGATCCAAAAACTTTTAAAACAGAAATCTGTCAACTCTTAAAATCCAAAGTGGTGACAAAAAGCCAATTTGGCTGGCTCATTTAAAATGGTGGTATAGCATGGTATTTATACATGACTTCTAACGATCCTAGTAAATATGAAAGCATGTGTACACAAGGTCCTGCTGTGTTGGTGTGCTAAAACATGCAACAAGTGGTCAGAGTTTTATATTCCATCTAAATTGCCAACTCACAATGGAAGTACAATTTCAATGCTCAACTCCACATTAAGAAAATTTTACTAAGTCTGGAGTCCAGACTCTGGACATTTTCAGACTTATAATCTCAAAGGAGTAGTGTTCACCACATGTCATTTTGATACAATAGGCAGAATCTACTGCTACAATTGTCACAATCACATTGATGGTACTTACAGATATAGTAAATTGATATTATTGCTCTTTGCTTAAATTTTGCTTTGTTTTGTGTGATAATTTTTCATATCACTCTACTCGAGTTTTTATCAGCCAAGTAGAAAAAGAGTGTATGACATCATAAGCTACTGTAAATTCAGAAATTATTGCGTGCATTTATTATTGCGATTTTGTCATTTTAGACTAAAATGCGATTTTGATTTTTGCGATATTGAGAAAAATCCTGTTTAATTCATATAAAAAATTTCAAAATGCGAGTTTAAATAATTGCGATTATAACCCTGTCGCATTTTTCGCAATAATAAAAATATCGCAATAATTTCTGAATTTACAGTATTATGTACGTTGCCTAGGAAAACAGTGTTAAACAGATTATCAATGGTCTTTCATACTGGAGAATGTTCTCTGCTATATCCATCTCAGGGTTGTCGCCCCTCAATGATATTATAGCTGAGAAAGACCCTCTCGTTTGAAAAACCATCGATAATTTATAATTACTACAAGATCTTTATTAGCTTTTAATTTTGGCTATTTTCTCAGATGCAAAAAAAAACACTAAACTTTCCCATGGCAATAAAATCCCAGATATAGTAGTAGTCACGGCAATACTCTCACTACCTAACTTTACTCTTTTCTCTTAAGATTTCCAACCACAAAATAATAATTTTCATAACCTTCTAGAGCTTAAACTTGGATTTAATTCTAATTGGCAATAAAATATATCAAACAAATGATCAGTATGCAATTTCCACTCACATGAGCTACTGCACTTAAAGATATCAATTACATATCTCATAGTTTTTAAAATTAAACAAAAAGGCTATATGTTATCTTTTTTTTATTCACGATTATACATGCTACATATAGTAATAAACAAGGCAAAGATATTTTTTGAAATATACCAACAGAGATCAAGCAATAATTAAGATGAGCCAGAAAATTTCCTGCTTAGAAAAAAATGTCAAAATTAGGAATAAGATATTTAATATTCAAAAATTTAATTAACAGAAATAAAAGATCTACAACTTATTACTGGACATGGTACTAAAAATAAGTAGCTTCGTGAATAATTTTATTGGTCCTGTTAATTCCATTAAATATCTTTTAATTAACTTTTTACTTTAAAATTCTATGAAATGTCACTAAATTAACTTTTAACTTTTCATTTATTTAAAATATATAATGTTAACAATGTATAAATAATAGATGATTACAATATAAAAATTATATTTGTGATAATTTCATTCTGATTTTATAAATGTGTACTTTAAATGAAAATATCATTTAGACTGATTAAGGCCTAAATTTGGATAGACTTTGCTTCAGGGGACCTATTACCACATGCATGGTCCAACAGTATTTCTTTTTTGTGAAAATGCCCATTTTTGTGCTTTCATAAACAAATTTCTAGTTTTGGGTTTATAAGTGCAGTTCCACTAAATACACCTTAAAAAACATTAAAACCATAAATCTGACTAATATCTGGAATATTATTCTTTCCAATCTATCAAAGCTGTACTAAGCATGCAGTATAAAAAAAAACTTGATTTTAATATGCATATAAAAGATGTAATTATTGTGTTTAGATAGAATATGACAGTTTAAACCTTTTTTGGACCAAATTTAGGCCTTCCCATATATGTTATATAGTACAAGCATACTACTATGAGCAAACAATATATTCCAAATAAATTCAATCTATTCTAACAACCAATTACATTGTATCATACACAACAATATTACACATATATACATTATCACACTTTTACGTGTACTGCACCAATAAAAATGTCTGCCTTTGGCAAAAATATTTTAGTCATGTCCTTCTCGCAAAGAGTTTATTTTAGCACAAATTTTCAAGGCTGGTCCCAACTTCATGCTCATAGTGGTCATCAAATGGTCTTCTTTAAGAAGCATTAAGGCTTGACCGTCAATCTCCTGGGATCTAAATTCTTCGGCATAAGGTGCACATCCTGGAAGTACTTTGATAAATTCATACACTTCAACAACCTGAAATAAAAAAAAAAAAAAATTAATCAGATAATTGTATGGTACAAGATATTGAAGAAGATGGTTTTTATCTTTAAATCTCTATCAACAAAATTCTCTCAATTTAAGTAATTATATAATGATTTAATTACAGTCTATTGTTTGCAAAACATTACAATGTAGTAATTAATATATATATAATTTATGTGTACTTATTAAATAAACTAAATAAATTGTGCTGTACTGTGATGTTGCAATTTGAAAGCAGGACACATGACTTCATAACAGCAGATTAAGTACTTTGTGCTTGTTTTCAGTAACTGTGAGCACTCTTTGATATGGTATAAAATTGTGTTTTGTTAAGCTATTACTGTTTTTTAAGAGTACAGTGCTTCTCCTGATCAAATTGCAAAAGTCCTTTCGTTCCTCCAATGATTAAGATTATTTGGGGAAGGTGGAGATCTAAAAACACTTGAAGAACACATCACATTTTCATGCGCCTAGCCCAAGTCAGGAACCTTGTTAGTGGTAGGCTTATGTTAATTTTTTAATGTGTTGTTTTTTGAGGAATTCGGTGTTGATGGCAGAACTTTGAAAGTCTCTGATAAATTTATATTCTACTTTTCCACAGGGTAATTTCCAGCTTAACATATTGTAACCCCAATTAGTTTTGAAGACTACATGGTGACCTCTAAATGTCTTTTAGTTTTTTGGTTATTTTGTTCTTTATAGGTATGTTGTTGCATTTATATACATCCAACAATTTTCTATTTTCATATAAAAAATTAAGTAACTTCTCAAACTCATACCCCACTCTACCCATTTCTATATATTTGTTTTGCTTTTTAGGAACCTTAAAAGTCATTCAAGCCAAGAAATAAAATTGAAGGTGTAAGATCGCATTATGTAAGTATTTTCATTATAAGTTTGATTCAAATCCAGATTGTGGTTTTTCCTCTTTTATACTTACATTCCATTTAGAAGGATGTGACTTTGGTATATCTGTTTCCATATCTGTCTCACTGTGTGTTTGTACATGACGTGGTGGTGGGGGAGAGTCTGGTGTGGAGCTACTGTCTGACAGTGATGAATTTGACATCTCCTCCTGGTCAAACTGATTCTCTTTCATTCCAATCTCTCCTGGAGTCTACAATGAAAATAATCAAAAGAAATAACCATAAGATTGAATTTCAGAAACATAAGCACATGGTATGTAGAAGAATACAGTAAATCTTTAAAAGATAGGATTGTTCATATTTGAATGGTCACAACCTTTCATCTCTTTCCGAAACTGTTCATAAACAAAATTAAATAAATCACTTAAAACAGTCAATAAAAAAACGCCAAAATTTGTTTGTTTAATGGTGTTTAACACCACTTTCAGCGCCTTTGGCTATATCAGTTTGCAGCGAGTTTTTTATTGGTGGAAGAAGCTAGAGTCTGAAGTACCCAGCTTCAAAATATGAAGTTGCTGCATATCAAAAGATGATATCTATAATTATTTAGAAAAAATAAAATTATGCAACAATAATTATCAGGTTGAATGGGTAAACTTGTGTCATAAGTATTGGGCGTAATAAATACCTTTGAGTTAGTATTATAAGATAATCTTCCACCTCGCCCAGGCCTCCATCCTTTTCTAAGGTTTAATGGCTTCCCTCTTTTTCTCATATATCTACCTCCAAGCGCTAAAACAATAAAATAATACACATCAAACCCCAATAAACAAGTGAAGTAATAAACAGTTAATCATATATATTGAGAAACAGCTTACTGTAAACAAACACTTTTTGGTGGATACTGTAAATTCAGAAATTATTGCGATGTTTTTTATTATTGCGAAAAATGCGACAGGGTTACAATCGCAATAACTTAAACTTACTTTTTAAATTTTTTTATATGAGTTAAACAGGATTATTCTCAATATCGCAAAAATTAAAATCGCATTTTAGTTTAAAATGACAAAATCGTAATAATAAATGCACGCAATAATTTCAGAATTTACAGTACTGTCTATGTTTAGCTCTTTCTAGCAGATTCCACACCATATTTTTTACATCATTTTGTAGAGATCAAATTTTGACATATTTGTGACCATTTATGTTTGTGTTATTTTCATACTCATGAAAGACAGAAAAACAAATCACTAACGAAAATTAGTTGATTCACAGTATATGCTAGCATTTCATTTTTTAAATTTCTATTTATTTCAATAAATTTATGTGGATTACATTTTTTTAAATTGTTATTTTTGGTGTTATTTGTCATTCCAGAGTCCTTGAGTTCACCCTTTAGTTTAAGTGGGGTTCATTATGGTAAAGCTTGAGTTTTCTGTGTAGTATTTATCAGACAATTGCTTGTCTTTTTTCTTTTGGTCATGGTTTTGTCTGTTTTTCTTCAACTTATAGTTTTTGGTTGTCCTCTAGGTATATTCTTACCCTGTTTTGACTTTTTTAATGTCTTCACATGAAAATCATGGACTCTGTACATGCAGAGCACAGTTCATCTTCATATTTGTGAAGATCAATGTGCATTCCTGCCAAGTTACATAAAAGCATTCCAAACTTTTCCTACAGTACTTACGTGGGCGTCCAACAGTTCCACGTCCTCTTTGTTTAAGCATGGATATTCTATGTGCAACATTGTAACGCTTAGCACAGATCATGGAACAAAACCTTTTTGACCTTTTGCTGAATTTAGCCATCTGCTCTTCTGTTCCACAGAATTCACACTTTTCAAATACAGCAGGAGGCTCTACAACAGATAAAAGATATCAAATTCATATTTGTCAAAATAGATATTACTGGAAATGGTGAAAAGCATAAACCGTATAAGATAACTGCAACTTTAATAATATATTAATATTCTCTAATTCAAAGAATGTTTAGGATACTATAAAAGCATACAGTTAATTAACACCTAAATAAATGGGGAATGTGTCCAGGGGACACAGACGATGCTCCCACTTGCATATCATATAAAGTTATAATGGAACATAACTGAAGAACGGTAAAAGTGATGCTACCCAACTTTGTTATTGATCTTAGTTTTGTAGTAATAAGTACTGTGTATAAGTTTCATAATATTTGGTTGAGGCTAACTTAAGTTAGAGAACGAAAAACGAAAAATTCAGCAATCTTTCCATTTGTAAAGGGGTATAACTTTAGAACAGTAAAAGTTACACCACCAAAAATCAATCTCAATCTGTATTTTGTGGTAATAAGCATTGTATATAAGTTTCATAACATTTGGTTGAGGCTAAAAAAACAAATTTTTGTAAAATACTCTGGATTCATTATTATTCGTGGGACTTTTCCAAAAGCCATGAAAATTGGTACCCACAAAAATAAATGAATCCACAATAACAGTTTTTTTACAATATAAAATTGACTGTTAATGATTGATTGTTGTATGCTAAACATCCACTAGCAAATATTTCATACACATTTAGGACAAACATGACATAACAAATAATAAACTGTAAACAAGGATTTTTTTGGCGGGTTTGTTATTTACATGATATTATGGATAAATTTTTGGCACATAATTTGATAACTGATCCATTCAGATCAATATTATGATTTGTACGAACTATTAATGCTAGGAACATTTTCAAACATTTTACATCATTGCCAAATGAACAAAAAATTATTTCTATGTGAAAATTTCCACTTGTACAGTAGCTACTAAATAACATTAAAATCTTTGATCTTGCATATTTAAACTAGGCCTTCCTAGGGAATTTGAAACCCAAGCACAAGTCTTAATCATTAACAAATGTATTTAAATTGAGAATCAAATTACTGGATGTTAAATGTATAAAATTTGATATCCCATAATGCATTTGTGTTAGGTATAATGTATATGGCTTGAAAAAATGTAAGAAGTGAAACTTCACTTTATTCAGAGATCAAACCAGTATGCTGTCATTTTTTATGGTGTGTTTACATGGTACGATTTTCCATCCTATTTGATAAAGTCATCCAGGTTAATTGTACAGGGTTCTCTTCACGTGATACCATTTTCCATTTGATTAACCAAATGACATCTGATTTTAGTGTTCATACGGTGCAATTTCTGTCAAAACGAAATTATACTGCAGATTTATTATTATTCGTGGGATACCAATTTTTTGTGGATTTCGTGGATGCAGATCGATGGACCACAAATTTAAATGTTCAATGAATTACTAATTTTCTTTAAGCTTGTATGCAGACTTTGGCAGAACTATGATATCCAATATCCAAGAAAATGATAGTTTTCCTCAATCTATAATAAAATGCTCAGCTGGGCGCAGCTTGATACGACCACAGAGGTCTAACCCTGAACAGTTGGGGCAAGTATGGACACAACATTCAAGCTTGATACAGCACTGAATTTGGATTGTGATTAAATATTTGACACAGCATAGGTTTCTGACACAGAATGAATGTGGTCTAAGAACTTAAAAAATTTTAATTTACCTATTCAAACCATATCATTATTATTTACTTTTATATATAAATCAGAAATGACCAATTTAAAATGGAAAATTTTAAAGAAAAAAAAAGAAAAAAAGGAAAAAAAAATTTTTTGAACCCCCTTATGATTCATCACCCCCAAACTCAATCCCAGCCTTCCCTTTGTGGTATGGTACCTTGCAGTACAATTTCAGAGAGATCCATACACTTGAACACAAGTTATTGTCTGGAAACTAGAAAAATGCTTGTTTTAAGGCCCCTTTTTGGCCCCAAATTCTAAACGTTTAGGGCAATTACCCCCAAACTCAAACCCAGCTTTCCCTTTGTGATATGGAACCTTGTAGTACAATTTCATAAAGATCCATACACTTACACACAATTTATTGTCCTGAAACTAGAAAAAAATGCTGGTTTTTGCCCCTTTTTGGCCCCTAATTCCTAAAATTTTAAGGCAATTACCCCCATAAACAATCCCAGCCTTCCCTTTGTGGTATGGTACCTTGCAGTACAATTTCAGAGAGATCCATACACTTGAACACAAGTTATTGTCTGGAAACTAGAAAAATGCTTATTTTTGGCCCTTTTTTGGCCCCTTATTCCTAAACGTTTAGGGCAATTACCCCCAAACTCAATTCAAGCTTTCCCTTTGTGATATGGAACCTTGTAGTACAATTTCAGAAAGATCCATACATTTACAACCAAGTTATTGTCATGAAACTAGAAAAATGCTTGTTTTTTGCCCCTTTTTTGGCCCCTAATTCCTAAAATTTTGAGGCAATTACTCATAAAATCAATCCCAGCACTCCCTTTGTGACACAAGTTATGTCTGGAAGTTACAAAAGTGCTTATTTTTGGCCCCTAATTCCTTAACTGTTGGTACCATAACCCCCAAAATCAATCCCAACCTTCCTTTTGTGGTATTGAACCTTATGGTAAAATTTCATAGAGATCCATTCACTTAAACTAAAGTTAGAGTGCGAAAACCAATGTGTCTTCGGACGACGACAAAGACGACGATGCCAACGTCATACCAATATACGACTGCAAAATATTTTTGCGCTCGTATGAAAATTTGTACTCAGGAAAATAAATGAATTCACAGTAGGTCAAAAATCGAATGGAAATCAGATGGAAAAAATCATACAGTGTAAACGCAACTTTACACATATGAATAGATTGCCTGTTTGGTGCCCTACCTTTATGTTCTACTTTCTTTGGTGACTGGACTGGACTGCTGGACATTCCTGCAGATCCACTGTCTGTATCCATAGGTACAAGGCCTGGTTTAGGGGGAATAAATTCTGTCAATAGAGACGATCTTTGTACCTAAAAAGATTAAGATGTAACCATATAGATTTTATGACTCTGTCATGAAAAAAAAAATTAAGTTGTAGTTACTGAAAATCTAAAATAAACAGAAATCAATCTAATTATTCTCTCCATTTTCACTTTTGAACAGGAAGAGATGACTCTATAAAATTATATTGAGTTCTTACAACAAAATAATGGTAACTTTCATACTTCATTTACATTTTAGTGTGAAACATATTTTCTTACTTACTCTTTAGAAAGTTTTAAGATAAATACAATAACAACAAAGACTAATGAAGATATAATCACATATACATAATGAAACTGTTTCCAAGTGAAAATTACCTTTGTTGTGGATGCTTTCTGCTGAAGTTGAAAATAATATATTTCATAAAAGACATTTTTCAAAGATATATATTATGTATATATACTTCATCAAAATTACAGATAGGTCAAATTTTTTGTTTTGTTAAGATACAAGCTTAAAACTTTAAATATTTGATGGGGAAAAGACATCTCTTGATTTTTCATATGGAATGTCTTGTTTTTTCGTATTTGTCCATGTCTCTTTTAAATTTTTAAAACATTGATAAATAATTAGTCAGAAAGAGACATCCAACACATGTGTCTGCGTTCTGCAGATGTAACCAAAGGATGAAAGCTTATTATGTGATTAAATTTGTGCATCAGTGATTTCAAAAGAGGATTTGATTGCATAATAACAGTACAATAATAAAGTGCATCTGCACTTAATGCTTGAAAACATTAACCTTGAGTTTATCTATAGGAACAGGGAAACCTTTATAACAAAACAAATTATCCAACTAATAATAGTGAATCAACAGCAAATGTCCATTTTACACAGGTCATATACCTAAAGAATATTTACTGTCTGTCTTGTTAGAAGAATTAGGTTGTTCAAAATAAAGGAATTCAGTTGAGATTTGAGGAAGATTATTACTGCATTCAGACTTTAGATAAAAATGTTTTTTTTTGTGCCAGCTTTTTATCATAGTTGATGCAAAACAAATAATGTTCATATTGATCTTCTAAATAGACCGATTCTGGTTCCAATTTATGATAATTCGGTAAATGAGACTTCCCCCTGATATTCATTAAACACTCTATAACATGGACCACATTTGTAATGAATGTCAAAGAGACTTATATCTAACATTGAAAATAACTATAAGTTATATTACAATTAAAGCAATCCTTTTAGAATATATATATGTGCACTCACATTAAACTGGCTGATGGACAGTCATACAAATTTGAAAGACAGACACAAAAAGTGAAACCATAGAATTGAAACAGCATAGAAGTGGGGACCCTAAAACCATTTGAATTATTCCTGGAAAAGAGATTGATCTTTCTGGATTGATGGAAGCCTTAAAGGCATAGAATAGTAAAGTTTATATACAGGTTAAATTTCTGGTACCTCATGTTAATAGGCCTGTTGATCAAATTTCAAGTACTTTCTTCCGTGAAGCTAAACAACTTCACTCCAAGGGCAAAATTTTACACTCAGTTTACTAGACAAGGCCAGGGGGCATTATCTATTGGAAAATGTTCCGTCTTTCTTGTCTGTGGAATAAAGAGGGACAAAACTTTTTTGAGAGAATCTGATCACCATTATATATAAAGACCAGAAGGACTAAATATTTTAGGAAGATTGTTGTTCTTCTTGTCAAAGAATTTGAACCAGTGGAAATATACTAACTAGGCAAGAATGTAGGTACCTCTTATTTATTGATGATTGAGAGAAAACTTATAAAAAAAGGTTTATGTCACTCTTGTGTATGGACCACTCAGACTATACCTACTGGGAAAATTTTGATCCCTCTTGTGTATGGACCTCTCAGACTACACTTACTGGGAAAATTTTGATCCCTCTTGTGTATGGACCACTCAGACTACACTTACTGGGAAAATTTTGATCCCTCTTGTGTATGGACCACTCAGACTACATTTACTGGGAAAATTTTTATCCCTCTTGTTTATGAACCACTCAGACTACACTTACTGGGAAAATTGTGATCCCTCTTGTGTATGGACCACTCAGACTACACTTACTGGGAAAATTTTGATCCCTCTTGTGTATGGACCACTCAGACTACACTTACTGAGAAAATTTTGATCCCTCTTGTTTATGAACCACTTAAACTACACTTACTGGGGAAGGTTCTGGTCCCTCTTATATATTGACCACTAAGACTACACTTACTGGGAAAATTTTGATCCCTCTTGTTTATGAACCACTTAGACTACACTTACTGGAAAAGGTTCTGGTCCCTCTTATATATTGACCACTAAGACTACACTTACTGGGAAAGGTTCTGGTCCCTCTTATATATTGACCACTAAGACTACACTTACTGGGAAAGGTTCTGGTCCCTCTTATATATTGACCACTAAGACTACACTTACTGGGAAAGGTTCTGGTCCCTCTTGTTTATGAACCACTTAAGACTACACTTACTGGGAAAGGTTCTGGTCCTTCCTGTATAACAAATCCCTCTATTACATGGGTAAGTATGTGAGGCTTTACTATAGCTTTCTGTTTCTCTATAACAACATCTCCCTTTTTCTCAATGGAATCTGTTTTATCCTGAAATATAATTTAGTTAAATTATCATATAAAGCATTAGTACATGGGTTTGGTCAGTAGTGACCACCACGACATCACACAATTATGTACAACTGATTTGTTTATTAGAAATTCAAACTTTTACTACATAGAAGACAAATGTTAAAATTTGCATCTATCCTCTAAACCATTAATATAAGGTAGTACTTTAATTCTGTTTGTAATATTATTTATTTGACATCAATACTAACAAAAGACAATAATAAATCTTATCACATGACTTATGATCTGTAAGTGTAAGGGTCAGAAAAAAAAATATACATATGGGTATCTCGGTAGCAGAAATGAGCACAGCTCTAGCACAAAGCAGGATTCTTATTCATTTCATAGTAAGATGTTCTTATTCTGAATAAATATAGTTCAAAGATTGACTGCAAGATGTGCCATAAAAGATGCATCTACCTATCTATCTATCCATTTTATGCAGAAGATTAATTATTTCTTGTTTCCTTAATTGAAAATAGGATCATGGTGGCCTGGATGCTCATCTTCTCCCAAAAATTCATCTCTGCACAGTTACAATGATCCTCTTATTAATAGATACCAAGATATGTGATAGGTAATAAATAGGTTAATGAAACATGAAATCAAGGTTTTAATGACATACTTTTGAATTGATGCAAACATTCTCCCCATGAAACATCTCTATAAAGTTAAGATGAGTGTATTATTAATAGTTACTGAGATATGAATTTGGATATAAAACTTATCCAAAGCCAATAAAGCATAAAAAGCACGTCAAATTGACCTAATTTTGCGTGACAGCTTACATACTCCCAAAAAATGCATATTTACACAAGATTAGATGACCCCATTTCTTATAGTTAATACTGAAATCAGATAAAATACTTAACCACAATTATAACTCCATAAAGGTGAACCAACGCTGTAGTGTTTACTTTTGGTAGAGACCACAATTAATTAAGAGTGAAATTAGGTCACAGTGATCTACTTTTGTCTGGATAGTGATCTGCTCCCAAACATGTATATTAATGCAAGATTAGATGATCCTTGATTTATAGTAACAGAGATATGATCTTGAATTTACACGTAAATAAACATCAACTTGGACCTTAACCAAAGACATTAAACTATGAAATATGGGAGGCATGATTTTCTCTTTTAAACATGAAGTTGAACTTTATAGACGACTTTTCAAATTAATGCATTTTCCTGGACATTTCTGATGCCCCAAGGCTTATGTTCTTACATCACAGTAATAGTCACTTGTACAATGACGCCTTATAAGCAGGTTGACCCTATGTCAATCTAAATAACTCATTCATAAAAAGGAATTTGAAAATGGTCTGTTAGATGTACCTATATACAAAGTAACAAGATATTGGGCTGCCACTTATTGAAATCTGGTTCTTGATGTGCACAATGATATGAACATGTTCATAGCCCCAACAGTACTCAAATAGTTCAGAAATTTTCAGTGTTCTCCCCAGGGCCTTTTAGCATCATGGTAATGTGATAATATATTGCTAGAATGTGATGTTATCTGAAATTAGTTTCTTATAGATAGTGTATGAATGTGATGCTATACTTTCTAGAAACAAAAAGGTTTTTCATAATTCCATGTTTACCAGGATGATATAAGAAATTTCTGAGGAGAACACTGAGTTCTTCCTTAACTTCTTTGTGGCAATCCAAAAATGTAAACAGTCTTCAACCTAGAGAAATTAGCATGTTCTTTTGTTGAGCCAATTTTCTTTGACACTAACTGTTTACCTTCTTGTCTTCAATCAATTTCTTGCCCATCTCAACATTTACATTTTTCTTTGATGTCTCCACCTCTGAGTCTGACTGGCTTTTAAGTAGAACAGCCTGGTTCATTTGGTGCACAGGGGTGGCAGGTTTAGATTGACTGAGAGCACCAGTTGCTCTGGCCTGTGATAAAGCAGATGCCACTGTATTAGTTGATGCTGTTGCCATAGCAACAGGTGCACCTTTACTCTGATTTCTTGGTCTGCCTCTGTTTGGGTTTTTTGGTAAGTTAGGTATGGATATTCTTGGTCGCTGAGACATTGTTGGGTTAATTCTGGCAGTAGCTGTTTTATTCAATGGTGTTATCATTGTCTTTCCAACCTGTGACCCAACAACCTGAAATTTTTAGATCCTATATGAATGAATTGCAAACAGCAAGATAAACTATACAACAATGAAAGAAAAAATATCAAAACACCAATTGTTTTAAAAATAAATTTATAATAATAAAATTAAAAAAATAATTAAATAAAGTGTGTTTAATTAGAAAAAAAACTTGCCATAGCAGAAATGTAATCTTTATTTCATTATTTAACAGCTTTTTTGGTCTGTAGATGTCTTTATCAATGATTTGATCAATCACTATGTAAAACTTCATCAGTTTCATCAAGGTAGGTCAGGTGTCTTTTTATGAGCATCCTTCTGGGCATATCGCATAAATACTTTTTTGGTTTAAAAATATTTTACCAAGTATCATTCAATATACAACAGAAACATTTAAAACTTGAAATTTAAAGATTAAACTATCAAAGAATTAAGTGTCATCAAGAGCATATAAAATTTTCAAAACGATCCTTTTAAAATCAATTGCAGATAATTATTTATTGAATTTGATAGGACAATTGGAGTTTTTTGACCCCCTATTTTTATTTGATTTTTCAGAAGTAATAATGAAAAGCAATTTTCTCATTGAATTTAAACTAATTCTATTGTTTAATGTTTCCTCAATACAGAATAAAATGATTCGCTGAGTGCAGCTGGATACTACCGCAGAGGTCCAACCCTGAACAGTTGGGGCAAAAATGGACACAATATTCGCGCTTGATACAGGTCTGAATTTGGATTGTAATTAAATATTTGACACATAATAGGTTTCTGACACTGAATATCTGTAGTCAAAGAACTTAGAATTGGTTATATGATTTGAATTTATATTCAATTTTTTGCTTTTGTGCAATACACTATGCTGTTGCTAATTGACAACCCCCCCTCCTTTTTTTGCAAAAAAAAATAATATTTGAAGAAATTTTCTTTTAAATTTCTGAAATCTGAAATGAAAAAAAAATTGCCCCCCACAATTTCTTTTTTACCCCCCTCCCCCCTAATTTTTTTTTCACCTCCCCCCCCCTTTTCCCTCAAGATATGGTCATAATCTCAATTCAAATTTCCAATGGAGTTTGCAACCATAATTACCAATTTAAATACATCATAAAAGTCTTAAAATAGAAAATGACATACATAATCATTGCTAAAATTAATATTCCTTTAATAGTCACTTCTAAGAATAAATTGACAGCTAATCACCTCAAGACAATACAAAATTTCTTTATACATAATTTAAAAGCAGTGTAAATCTATTGTCAAATAATTAGACACCCCAGCTACCTGAAACATGTTTAAGGAGTCAAAAATGAAAAGTTCATAGTTTTGTTTCATACATGTATAAACATATTTCTTTAATAAATGAACTAACTTTATTATGGTGTCCAATAACAACAGAAATCAAAGCAAAAAAGTTGCAGAATATTTCCACTTGTTAATTCCTTAAGCTAAATGAAGACTCTTATCATATTTCATCCATTATTGTAAGATCATGGAAGACATTTTGAATAATTGAATAATTATTACCTGTTTGCCAATAACACCAGCTACTGTTGCCTTTCCCTGCAGACCTTGTATGGTTTCAGTTTTACCATCCTTCACTTGTTGGCCGAGATTCTGTATGCCTGTTATGATTCCCTGAGGCTGCAGGGGATTGGCTGCTCTGATAAATAACTGCTGTCCAGATAAGATAGCTTGTGATTGGCCAGTCCCTGACAACAATTGCTGGTTTGTAGCCAATGGAAATGCAGCTTGCTGCTGCAGATTAGCCATGGCTTGTAGCATTGCCTGATTTGTGTATAAAGGCTGAGAGTTAAGGATCTGTCCAGTACTGGAAACAACTTGAGGCTGGGAAAGTCTGAAAGCTCCTGCTTGTGATGTCAACATCTGTTGTCCATTGTTTGCAACAGCTACAGAAAATGTCTGCCCTTTCTGAAAAAGAAGTCCTGAGATTCAATAAAAACTCAAAATAGGACTTATACACAAAGAGCTTATGCTAGATGTTTTAAGATGACATACTGTGGATTCATTACTATTCCTTGGATACTAATTTTAGTGCATTTGGTGGGTATATGTAAATCATGAATTTATATTTTCAAAGAAAAAACAAATTTTCTACACTCTTGTAAGCATATTTTGGCAAAACTGCAAAATAAAAATAACCATGAAAATTGATACACATGAAAATAAATGAATCCACAGTATAATTACAGTTGCTTTTCTTTTTCATGATACAAATAGAAAAACATGTAACAATAAAATGCTTCGCTGGGGCGCAGCTTGAACGACCGCAGAGGTCGAACCCTGAACAGTTGGGGCAAGTATGGACACAACATTCAAGCTTGATACAGCTCTGAATTTGGATTGTTATTAAATATTTGACACAGCATAGGTTTCTGACACAGAAAGAATGTGGTCTAAGAACTTGATTTTTTTTAATTTACCTATTATGGTCCAATGTCCAAAATCAAAATACATGGTTAGATTCAGCATATCAAAGAACCCCATATTTTCAATTTTTGTTGAAATCAAACAAAGTTTAATTTTGGACCCCAACTTGGACAAACTTGAAAACTGGGCCCATAATCAAAAATCTAAACACATGTTTAGATTCAGCATATCAAAGAACCCCAATAATTCAATTTTTGCTAAAATCAAACTAAGTTTAATTTTGGACCCTTTGGACCTTAATGTAGACCAATTTAAAAAACGGGACTTAAAATTAAAAATCTAAATACACGGTTAGATTTGGAATATCAAAGAACCCCAATAATTCAATTTTTGATGAAATCAAACAAAGTTTAATTTTGGACCCTTTTGACCTCAATATGAACCAATTTGATAGCGGGGCACACAAATAAAAAATCTTAATTCATGGTTAGATTCAGCATATCAAAGAACCCCATATATTCAATTTTTGTTGAAATCAAAAAAAGTTTCATTTTGGACCCCAACTTGGACCAACTTGAAAACTGGGCCCATAATCAAAAATCTAAACACATATTTAGATTTAGCATATCAAAGAACCCTAAGAATTCAATTTTTGTTAAAATCAAACTAAGTTTAATTTTGGACCCTTTGGACCTCAATGAAGACCAATTTTAAAAATGGGACCCAAATTAAAAATCTAAAAACACGGTTAGATTTGGCATATCAAAGAACCCCAATAATTCAATTTTTGATGAAATCAAACAAAGTTTAATTTTAGACCCTTTTGACCTCAATATGAACCAATTTGATAGCGGGGCCCACAAATAAAAAATCTAAATACATGGTTAGATTCAGCATATCAAAGAACCTCATATATTCAATTTTTGTTGAAATCAAACAAAGTTTAATTTTGGACCCCAATTTGGACCAACTTGAAAACTGGGCCCATAATCAAAAATCTAAATACATGTTTAGATTCAGCATATCAAAGAACCCCATATATTCAATTTTTGTTGAAATCAAACAAAGTTTAAATACTGGACCCTATCTTGGACCAACTTGAAAACTGGGCCCATAATAAAAAATCTAAACACATGTTTAGATTTAGCATATCAAAGAACCCCAAGAATTCAATTTTTGTTAAAATCAAACTAAGTTTAATTTTGGACCCTTTGGACCTCAATGAAGACCAATTTTAAAAAATGGGACCCAAATAAAAAATCTAAAAACACGGTTAGATTTGGCATATCAAAGAACCCCAATAATTCAATTTTTGATGAAATCAAACAAAGTTTAATTTTAGACCCTTTTGACCTCAATATGAACCAATTTGATAGCGGGGCCCACAAATAAAAAATCTAAATACATGGTTAGATTCAGCATATCAAAGAACCTCATATATTCAATTTTTGTTGAAATCAAACAAAGTTTAATTTTGGACCCCAATTTGGACCAACTTGAAAACTGGGCCCATAATCAAAAATCTAAATACATGTTTAGATTCAGCATATCAAAGAACCCCATATATTCAATTTTTGTTGAAATCAAACAAAGTTTAAATACTGGACCCTATCTTGGACCAACTTGAAAACTGGGCCCATAATCAAAAATCTAAACACATGTTTAGATTCAGCATATCAAAGAACCCCAAGAATTCAATTTTTGTTAAAATCAAACTAAGTTTAATTTTGGACCCTTTGGACCTTAATGTAGACCAATTTAAAAAACAGGACCCAAAATTAAAAATCTAAATACACGGTTAGATTTGGAATATCAAAGAACCCCAATAATTCAATTTTAGATGAAATCAAACAAAGTTTAATTTTGGACCCTTTTGACCTCAATATGAACCAATTTGATAACGGGGTCCACAAATAAAAAATCTAAATACATGGTTAGATTCAGCATATCAAAGAACCCCATATATTCAATTTTTGTTGAAATCAAACAAAGTTTAATTTTGGACCCCAATTTGGACCAACTTGAAAACTGCGCCAAAAATCAAAAATCTAAATACATGTTTAGATTCAGCATATCAAAGAACCTCATATATTCAATTTTTGCTAAAATCAAACAAAGTTTAATTTTGGACCCTTTGGACCTTAATGTAGACCAATTTGAAAACTTGACCCAAAATTAACAAGAGTGCACACGCTGAAATGTCTCGCCTTCTTTACTAATCATTGATATTATGTTGATAGTCCTAAATATAAAGCTTTCTTACAACTGTCACATAAACTTAACATTAACCAAGAAAACTAAACATTGACCAATGAACCATGGAAATGAGGTCAATGTCAGATGAACCATGCCAGGCAGGCATGTACAGCTAACAATTCTTCCATACAACAAATATAGTTGACCTATTGCTTATAGTTTAAGAAAAACAGACTAAAACACAAAAACTTAACACTGAGCAATGAACTGTGAAAATGAGGTCAAGGTCAAATAAAAACTGCGCGACTGACATAAAGACCATAAAATATTTCCATACACCAAATATAGTTGACCTATTGCATATAGTATTAGAAAAAAAGACCAAAACTCAAAAAATTTAACTTTGACCACTGAACCATGAAAATGAGGTCAAGGTCAAATGACACCTGCCAGCTAGACATGTACACCTTACAATCATTCCATACACCAAATATAGTTGACCTATTGCTTAAAGTGTAAGAAAAACAGACCAAAACACAAAAACGTAACATAAGCAATGAACCATGAAAATGAGGTCAAGGTCAAATAAAATCTGCCAGACTGACATGTACATCATTAAATATTTCCATACACCAAATATAGTTGACCTACTGCATACAGTATTAGGAAAACAGACCAAAACACAAAAACTTAACATTTAACAATGAACCTTGAAAATGAGGTCAAGGTCAAATAAAACATGCCAGACTGACATGTACATTGTAAAATATTTCCATACACTAAATATAGTTGACCTACTGCATACAGTATTAGAAAAACAAACCAAAACACAAAAACTTAACATTGAGCAATGAACCGTGAAAATGAGGTCAAGGTCAAATAAAACTTGCCAGACTGACATGAACATCGTACAATATTTCCATACACCAAATACAGTTGACCTATTGCATACAGTATTAGAAAAACAGACCAAAACACAAAAACTAAACTATGACCACTGAACCATGAAAATGAGGTCAAGGTCAGATAACACCTGCCAGTTAGACATGTACCCCTTACTATCATTACATACACCAAATATAGTAGACCTATTGCTTATAGTATCTCAGATATGGACTTGACCACGAAAACTTAACCTTGTTCACTGATCCATGAAATGAGGTTGAGGTCAAGTGAAAACTATCTGACGGGCATGACGACCTTGCAAGGTACGCACATACCAAATATAGTTATCCTATTACTTATAATAAGAGAGAATTTATCATTCCAAAAAATCTGAAATTTTTTTTCAAGTAGTCGCTGAACCATGAAAATGAGGTCAAGGACATTGGACATGTGACTGACGGAAACTTCGTAACATGAGGCATCTATATACAAAGTATGAAGCATCCAGGTCTTCAATCTTCTAAAATATAAAGCTTTTAAGAAGTTAGCTAACGCCGCCGCCGCCGCCGCCGGATCACTATCCCTATGTCGAGCTTTCTGCGACAAAAGTCGCAGGCTCGACAAAAATCTAAATACACTGTTAGATTCGGCATAACAAATAAATAAATGTGATCAAAGATTTTACAAATCTAATGCGCCATACTGTGCAATTAAAGATTACTTCTTGAAATTTTTCAATATTTGAAATTTGAAAAAAAAATAATATTTGAAGAATAATTCTTTTTAATTTCTGAAATCTGAAATGAGAAAAAATTGACCCCCCACAATTTCTTTTTATCCCCCCCCCCTTTTTTCCCCAAAAAAATTCTTTCCCTCAAGATATGGTCATAATCTCAATTCAAATTTCCAATGGAGTTGGCAACCATAATTACCCATTTAAATTTACCATAGTGCTAACTTAATCTATTTTATAATAGAATTAAAAATATAGTGTCAAATCTTTCATATGGATTTTTTTGTAAAAAAAAAAGATGCAACATTTGCAGATATTTTTACTGGTCTTCCTTTATAAATATGTATTTCTTTAAACATAATTTAAAAGCAGTGTAAGGGAAGTAACCAAAACGTTGTATTTGGATTACCTCCCTTACACTGTTTTAAATTATCTTTATTGTTCATTAACCATTACTTTATACATAATTTAAAAGCAGTGTAAGGGAGATAATTTCAATGATGTATTTGATTTATCTCCCTTACACTGCTTTAAATTATGTTTTGTACTAAAGTATTTGTCCATTAACCAGGACAACCTTGTTTTTCCCCCTTTTTTGCCCCTAATTCCTAAACGGTTTGAGCCATAACCCCCCAAAGCAAATCCTAACCATCCCTTTGTGGTATGGAAACTTGTAGTATAATTTCAGAGAGATCCATACACCGTTCCACAGTTATTGTCTGGAAACTAGAAAATGCTTATTTTTTGCCCCTTTTTGGCCCCTAATTCCTTAACTGTTGGTACCATAACCCCCAAAATCAATCCCAACCTTCCTTTTGTGGTATTTAACCTTATGGTCAAATTTCAAAAAGATCCATTCACTTAAACTAAAGTTAGAGTGCGAAAACCAATGTGTCTTCGGACGACGACGCCGGACGACGACGACGCCGACGCCAACGTCATACCAATATACGACCACAAAATTTTTTTGCGGTCGTATAAAAACAGAGTGGACGTGGCAGGGTACTTATACATCCACACAACAAAAAGACACTAAGTACAGATCTGAGAGTACTAGCAGTTAATGACAGCTAGTTCAAAGCCAATAACAATTGATAAAAAAAAATCATGCATCTAAGACTAAAATATCAATCAGTACACATCCAACATCAAATGGATTTAGTGTAAAGACGTTATTAACAGTCAGAAAAAACATGACCATGTGCAATGCCAAGATACATGTATCTACAAGTTTATCAGGGCAAACATATACAGCCTAGAAATAAATGTTTCCGAAGTCACAAACTCTTATCGTGTTGAGTATACCCTATATTGAAAACATAATGTCTACAATACCTTTATTATAAAGTATGTACTAATTTTTACATACATCTTCTTTGTACAGTGATTTTCCTAGTGCTTAGGGGAAGGGGCCCAGGGCCCATGCAATTAGGAATTAAAGTTCGTGAAATGTTGGCTTTGGGGAAAATATATTAGTCCGTTTATACAGAGGTCACATGGCATCAGCCGTGTGCAACTTGCTAGGTTTTTTTTGAAAAATTAGGGGCAAAATCCTGCATTCTGAGAAGGAATAACTGCATGAATTGCAAACAAGATTCAAGAGATTTGTAAACAAAAAACCACGATACAACACCAACAAAATCTGGCGACGATGTCTATATACAATTGGGAATTTTAGAGCTGAAAATTGAGAAAAAAGAGCATATTTCTCTTTTGGATTGGGGCCCAAATTCTGACCCAAAATGAGGATTGGAAAATCCCTGTTGTATCATTTGTTATTCACCTGATTGTGATTAAAAGTTGGAAGTTTGAGTGTAAAAAACTACTGTGGATTCATTTATTTTCATGGATTGAGGACAATTCAATATTCATGGATATTCCATTTTGTGGTTTTGTTAATTTTACGAAATTGTGACTTGGATGGAGAGTTGTCTCATTGGCACTCATACCACATCTTCTTATATCTATTGTTAAATTCTGCATACAATCCTTTAACAAATTTGTACTTCATTGAACATGTAAATTCTTGGTTTACCTTTACCTACAAAATCCATTGAAATTGACACTCCATAAATAATGATTCCAGTCTTTAAAACTCTGCCACATGTTGATGTGCCTGTCCAAAGTCAGGAACATTGTCAGTGGTTTTCCTCAATTTTATATTTATGATTTTTTTTCTTTAAAGAATGTTGTACTGTAAGAAGATCTATAGTAGTCCCTGTTTCATTGTGTTAAAAGCCCACAACTATGCATAAATCCTGATATTTTCATCAAATAAACCCTTAGAGAGGATTTCTAACTCTTTTGTCCCCATTCAGAAGATATACTCCAATGTCTACATGTGCATATCATGGTTTTGTTAAGTTCAATGTGTCTACCTGATTATGTAAAATAACTTACTGAAGTTACAAAACCTTGAGAATTTCCCACCTGATTTGGTAAAACACCTGAAAAAAAGCAAATTAACTGATTACCTTTCAGTACCTATAAATTAAACACAAAAACATCTTGTTTGCAATATTTTTTATTTTTTTCTCAAAATCATAAAACTCAGTACAAAATTAATATCTGAGGAATTCAATATTTGTAAGACCTGTTAGTGTGTACACCATCTTTCTCACTTTCCTGACAATAGCATGAACTTAACCTTAGTTTTATTGACACATTTGTTATTATATTTTTGAAATTTGTTTTCTCTAAAGGACACAAAAAAGGAAAAAGTATGTTTCTTAGTTTGAGATTAGAAAAAAATATATTTATAGAAAGGTGCATTATGGGCCATATTGGCCTAAAAAAAATTAGTATTACAAAATCAGATATTTGATAACAATGTGCAAAGTTTTAATGTAAGATCTTTTAAATATTATGAATATCTATAAAGATTTAAAGACAGCATATATTAATTTTTCTACAAAATTTAACAAAAATTTCTTATTTTGACACATATTAGTGAGTGGGAAATATGTAGCACAAAAATAATTACAAGAGCAATGTAGCTCACACATACAAACATAGTGGTGAATAACCTAATTGGTACCTGTATATGCTCTATATTTGCAGGTCCAAAACTATTTTGTTGTGATGTCAGATATTTGGCCAAGGTACAATCTTTTTTTATCATTTTTTTTTAACTGAAAATATTTCAGTGTAACTTATCTTGGTGCTTGAAATGAATATTCCTTCAACTTGTGTTTGAAAAGTCTATAAGTTTACAGAATATCTATGTACTGTAAATTCAGAAACTATTGGAATTTTTTAAAGATTAGATAAAAATGCGAGATTAATTATTGCGATAGCAGGAAAATCTGCATACAGATATGTATCAGATACCAGAATGCGAGTTCTTAGTATTGCAATACTCACCCAGTCCCATTATTCACATCACAATAATTTCTTAATGTACAGTAATGTATAGACATTTTCAAAGGTGATTCATTTTCATTTTTTGAGGCTTCTGGCTGAAGGACAATTGAATAATGATGATGCCTTGAACTGTAAACGTTGTATTGTGCAATAAAGCATTATACTTACTCAACTGTCCCAACACAATTGGTGTACCAGGCATTGCCTGGGTTGGCATGATAGGTTTGCCTGCTACTAGGGCAGTGGCTTGTGCCTGTACTGTTCCTGTGGTCTGCCGACTCTTTGCTGTAACATTCTGAGCTACTGCATTGGTGACTAGATTCTGTACTGATGTGGCAAAATTCATACTTAATTGCTGAAAACAGATCAATGGTTAATAACTCAGCAAAATAATGTACCAGTATGTATTTCAGAGGGAGACTTGGGTACTGTAAATCCAGAAATTAATGTCTTCACTTATTATTGCAAATCCTTGACCACCAGCAAAAAAGTGAAATTGCAAAAATCTTATGAAGGAAAATCAATACTGAAATTATGAATGCAAGTTTTTATTATTGCAAACCTGATAGTGTTTCATTTTTCCCATTAATAAAAACATCACAATTATTTCTGAATTTACAGTATACATTTGTACATAAAGACATCAACCTCGCAACAATAAATAACTATGTTCGAATTTAGGATTTACTGATATTTTCACAAAAAAGACCTTTCAATTATATTTAGTTTAAAAACATATATGGATAACACACATAAAATGTATAATGAAACAAACAAATATTTGAATTCAATAATACCAGATCACCATTAAAGTGAAAACCTGCAGTAGACAATGTTTTACCATTCATATGCATCAGCTTGCTTCAGAGTCAAAAGCTTTAGAAATTATGAAAGATATACGTGGAAGAACCATGAAATCTTTTTGAAGTCTTGTATCTTGTTGGTTGACATTGCATTGACATACAACAAAGAGAATGTCATATGAACAATTGATTTGAAACATGGTGGCAAATAACTGCTTCCTGGCTTTAAAACTCCTGGAAGAATTAAATTCCTCTTTATACTGATCAGAGGTTGAAAACTAAATTCCAGTTCATTAAATTTTACCTGAAAAGATGACATTATGCCTGGACTGTTGACCCCTACAACAATAGATTTACTCTTCATGTCTATAGCTGTACTCAGATTTAATTGTTGCTTATATTTATTTAAATGAGTATGTATTTTAAAAAGCATGGGGAGAATTGTTGACATTAAACCTGGAACTTTATACTCATTCTTAACTGGTGCTTATCAATTTAGCCTGTGTCAGTCTAGTAGGGCTTGGGGACATAAAACCAGGACGATTGAGAGATTTATACTAATTCCTAACTGGTGCTAAATAAATATAGCCTGTGTGGGTCTAGTAGGGCTTAGTGACATTAAACCAGGATGATTGAGAGGTTTATACTAATTCTTAACTGGTGCTTTATTTTGTATTTACATTGTGTCATAGGTCAAATTCATTTGTTCAGTGTATGTTCAATGGTGTTAATATGTCCTTTGATTGAGTTAAGCTATTTCAGTTGATATTTTATAGTGTGTCTTTCTGTGTTGTGATGTTACACTATTGTTTCGGAAAAAGGGTGAAGGTTTGGTACCATTAAAACATTTAAACCCGCTGCATTTGTTTGCACCTGTCCTAAGTCAGGAATCTGATGTTCAGTAGTTGTCGTTTGTTGATGTGGTTCATAAGTGTTTCTCGTTTCTCGTTTTTTATATAGATTAGACCGTTGGTTTTCCCGTTTGAATGATTTTACACTAGTAATTTTTTGGGGCCCTTTATAGCTTACAGTTTGGTGTGAGCCAAGGCTCCGTGTTGAAGACCGTACTGTGACCTTTAATGGTTTACTTTTATAAATTTTGACTTGGATGGAGAGTTGTCTCATTGGCACTCATACCACATCTTCTTATATCTACTAAATAAATATAGCCTGTGTAGGTCTAGTAGGGCTTGGTGACATTAAGCTAAGACTATTTATCCAACCCAAAAGATGGCAGTCTACCTTGCATAGCCATACTCATATTTAATTGGTGTTTATTAAATGTACCTGTGTAGGTGTAGTAGGACTGAGTGACATTAAGCCAGGACTATTCATCCCACTAACAGAGGACAGTCTGCCTTGCATGGCCATAGCTATACTCATATTTAACTCGTGTTTATTAAATGTACCTGTGTAGTTGTAGTAGGATTAGGTGACATTAAGCCAGGACTATTCATTCCATTAACAGAGAACAGTCGGCCTTGCATAGCCATACTTATATTTAACTTGTGTTTATTAAATGTACCTGTGTAGGTGTTGTAGGACTGGGTGACATTAAGCCAGGACTGTTCATTCCACTAACAGATGATGGTCTGCCTTGCATTGCCATAGCCATACTCATATTTAACTGTTGTTGTGGTGTCATATTCATGTTCATTGCACTGGCCTGCATAGCAGCTGAGGAAAAAGTACATAATTCAAAATTGAAAAAAATTGAAAAATTGTCAAATGTTACAATACTGAGCAAAGTGTTGCAATGTATAAAACTCTAATAACAGAAGTTTGGCTTTGATCAAAGATGAAATTCTGCACAATATTTATCTGTTGACTTTTGATATTATATTATAAATGTGGAATAAATTTTCACGAAATTTCTTTTTTTAGGGATCATTATACACACAGCTGTGCAGCAGTGATCATTTGATTAGATTTAGATGTGTCCCACTTTTGTATCTTAATCACAAACTTTAACAATTGTTGATTCTGTCAAAGCCCAAAACAGCAAGTCTAAATCTAGCAACATAGTTAGCGCGCCTTCAAACTAGTTTAACCCCACCACATTCAGTATGTGCCTGTCCCAAGTCAGGAGCCTGTACTTCAGTGGTTGTCGTTTGTTGCTGTATATCATATTTGTTTTTCGTTCATTATTTTGTACATAAATCAGGCCGTTAGTTTTCTAGTTTGAATTGTTTTACATCTGTCATTTCGGGGCCTTTTAAAGCTGACTATAAAGCAGTATGATTTTCACTCATTGTTGAAGGCCTTACGTTAACCTATAGTTGTTAATTTCTGTGTCTTTTGTTTTTTTGTAGAGAGTTGTCTCATTGGCAATCATACCACATCTTCTTATTTTCATATTATAAAGTGCCCACTCCTTGAAATCCTCTACACATTTAAATTACCTCTTAGTTTTAATATGGTAACTCTTATTTGTAAATAGAAACTGTATACAATTAAACAAAACACTGATTTCATCTCACAAATTTACAGTTATATGTTATGTTTAGCTGCAATAGTACTTGCACGTACATTCACAAACATACCTTGCATTGCATTTTGTAACATAATCTGTTGTTGATTGTAAGGAAACTGTGATATCTGATATGGTGGGCTGTGTAACTGAGGGATAACCTGAACCTGTGGGATACCAGGAGTACGGAGACCAGTAGTCATGGTAGTTGCTTGTGTTAACTGATTCCCTGCCTGTATCAGGTTGGGTGTACCACAACTGGTAGCCTGCATCTGTCCTTGTTGAACCTGCTGTAGATTTTGTATTGTTTGTTGTTGTGTTACTTGTTGAGGCTGGATCTGTTGATGTTGTACTTGTTGTTGTTGCTGTTGTTGTTGAGGCTGTGGTTGCTGTGAAGGTTGTGTTGTCTGTTGAACTTGTTGTACTTGATGAACCTGTTTACAATTAAAAAAATATTGGTATAAAACTTTTTATTTTTGGAGGTTTTATATAAGATGTATTCTTTGAAATCCTCGTTACACATGTAAGGATAAAAAAGGATCAACAGAAAATATTTGAACACAAAGTGAAACCACTACTAATTTAAAACTCTGCTTCTTTGACTGGTTCCCAATACCAAGTTGTCTAAAAATTGTAATTAAGCCTAAAACACATTTTTTTAACTGTTTTTTTAACCTCTGTAATTTTTGTAACTGTAAGCATTCAGTGTATTGGAAAAGTAAAAGAAATACTGTTCTTCTTCAGAGCAATTTCAATTCTATAATGTACAAATTCATAATTTTGTAGTTCTATATAATCATAACATCATAATAAAATAAATCATAAATAAATGTAATGATAAAATTGTTCTTAAGCTTTTTCTAATTAACAGAACCAATAAGGGTTGTGAAATGAGAAGCTCACCACTGAGAAAAGAAAGATTTGTTTTGTCCCTTGCCAAATTAGGCAATTGACTTTATAATTCAGAGAGGGTATCATTTATTTGGACAGGTGCTAAATCTTTATATTTTGTGTTTTGCATTTTGTGTTTTGTTATTCTTTCTTTTAACTTTTGTTGACTATGTCCTTGGAATATCCAAAAATATACTGAAAATTAATATTTAGAGCAAAATTAAGCACACACGTCTCGATTCAAAATAAAAAATGCACAAACAATTTCTTTGGTGGTTTTACCTGTGATGGTTATATAAAAATATTAGACAAATTTGAAAATATGTCTGATATGAAAATCTATACCTATAATGATAATTTAACGAGGTATTGAATATTCAGACAACTCAATTTACAGTTATTCATATGAGAAAAAATACACCATTTAGATGTTTTCCCAAAAAAGAACAACTGTTAAAACGTTCAAACCCGCTGCATTTGTTTGCACCTGTCCTAAGTCAGGAACCTGTTTCAGTGGTTGGTGTTTGTTGATGTGCAAAATGATGTGGTTCTTAAGTGTTTCTCGTTTTTTATATAGTTTATACCATTGGTTTTCCTGTTTGAATTGTTTTACACTAGTCATTTTGGGGCTCTTTATAGCTTGCTGTTCCGTGTGAGCCAAGGCTCCGTGTTGAAGGCTGTACTTTGACCTATAATTGTTTAATTTTTACACATGGTGACTTGGATGGAGAGTTGCCTTATTGGCACTCATACCACATCTTCTTATTTCTATTGGTTATGATGACTATGGTATATAGTTCATGTTTAGATTTCTGGGTTGCTGTCAGACAAAGAACTTAGAACTGGTTGCTGTCTGTGTTTACAAGTACAAATGTATTTTTAGCTATTAATATATCTACATAAAGTGATCATTAGTTTGAAATCTTACAACCAACTCTTACAATTCTTAAAATTATCTATTTCCAAGAGTTAAAATAAGCATACATGTATATACTTTTGATTGATTAATTGGTGTTTAACACCACTTTCAGCACTATTGTTCTCTTTCTCATTGCAGTCAGTTTCTATTGGTGGAGAAAGTCAGAGTGCCTGGAGAGAACCACTTTTGATAAAATATACAATTAGGAGATTACAATATTGTTATCTCTATTCTAATGAAACTGAAAGAAAACAACGTCAAATCATACATTTAAAATCTGTCATACATTGCCTGCGCTTGCGCATACGTTTTCATACAGTGTAGCATAAATTGTGAATTGATGCTATGAAAATTGGTGACGTTATCCAATCAAAATGAACTTTACATAGGATGTTGCATTATAATTCCTAATGAAGAGCATGAAAAAGAATTCGTTAATACGGCTAATATAAATACCTGTTGCTGAAGATTTTGGTGTTGTAGTTGTTGAGTTGGTTGTTGGACATTCTGAGCTGGAGTCTGTGGTTGCACTGTCTGTGACTGAGTAGTTACATTAGTTGGTGCTGGCTGTGACACTGCTGCTGGTTGTTGCTGTTGTTGGTTGGGTTGAGACTGTTGTGGGGTCTGGGACTGTGATGGCTGTCCCTGTTGTTCAGTCATATTGACTCTGTGGAAACATTTATATCTCTTTACAAAAATTAGAAATCCCTCAAGGACAGTTAGGTATCATTATTTCATTATAATCTATACCAAGAAAAACATGGCAGCAACTCTTTTCTCCCCTATGTTTTGAATATTTTGAACATTGCATACATGTACAAATTTCAACTTCCAAAATCCTTTTCACAGGTACAATTCACTTTATGAAATATCATTTTTTAAACAGGTATGGGTTTTGCTCATTGTTGAAGACCATACAGTGACCTATACTTGTTAATCTCTATGTCATTTGGACGCTGGTGGAGAGTTGTCTCATTGGAAATTATGACACATCTTATCATTTTTTTATTTGTGGGGTATAGATTTTTCAAAATCAAGCCTCAAATAAATTCAATGATGGCTGACATTGATTGTGCAACAATAACGTCAAAATGGAGGGGCCACTAATTTTCAAATTTTATTTGGTTAAAAATTTATGCAATTCACATAGAGTCCCATTAAATATAAAATATGGAGATGTGGTATGATTGCCTATGAGACAACAATTCACCAGAATTTGGGGTATAGATGTTAGCAACTTTTTCGACGGACAAAAAGAATGGATGTCTACATTATAACCTATTTCCTGGATGTTTTTGGGTTCAACCTGTACAAGTGTCAGTGCTCAGATTTCTCAAGTACTGGCAAAGGATTAGTTCTGCCATGTTAACATATATATAAAAGTATGACCAGTTAAATTCAGGAGCATAAATGTAAGAGGGTCAATTTTGATCAAAACACTATGGCCTTGAAAAACCTTAAACGACATCACAATAAAATAAACTTCTTTCCTGATTTATTTTCTAGATTTTTTTCATACATCATAAAGTAGCATACAATTTCCACAAAAAATAGGAGCATATGATTTCCCCCAAATTTGTATCTGATTACAAAAAAGAGGAGCATACGTTGGTTTTCCCGTTTGAATGGTTTACACTAGTCATTTTTGGGGCCCTTTATAGCTTGCTGTTCGGTGTGAGCCAAGGCTCCGTGTTGAAGACCGTACTTTGACCTATAATGGTTTACTTTTATAAATTTTGACTTGGATGGAGAGTTGTCTCATTGGCACTCATATCACAACTTCTTATATCTATATATGATTTCCCCCAAATTTGCCTATCTGATTGCAGAAAAGTATGATGACGAGTTAAACATTCATTCAAAATCAACTTGTACTAAAAAGATAACTGGCATGACTGGAGGGAGCTTGAGATCAGGTAACACCTGCCTCATATTATGTTATATTGGGTCATGTTTTTTAGTAACTTACATTTGATATTCTCTACAAAAAAGACTGAATAACATATTTTTATTCAAGTTCATGTTGTTCTGGGTTGGATAGGTTCTGTATATAAAGTTTAAGCTGATACAACTTGATCTGGCTTTAAAAAATTATCTCCCTTTGAATTATTTTTTAATGAAATTTTGGAATCTCACTTATTAATTTTGGTAAACTTTGCTAAGATCATTCTGTTATAATGCTGATAAAAAACTTGAAAATAATTTTAATTGTAGCTGTAAAAAATACACTCATGATAAAGATTGGAGTTTTGTATATTTTCTTATATGTCTGTAAAAAATTGGAGAATGTGTCCATAAAGGGACATAACTCAAGAAAGGTAAAAGTGACGCCACCCAAATTCCAACGGAAGCAAGTTAACTCGTACCATTGTAAACTCGTACCACGTAAACTCGTACCAAAAAAGTTAACTCGTACCAACGTAAACTCGTACCACTGGGAAGTCGTACCAATCAGAACTCGTACCACTGCAAACTCGTACCATAATAAAAAAAAGTTGAATTACTTGAATTTTATACTAGATTTTAATGAAAACTTAGACAAAAATACGAATGATTTATGATTTTTTTTTGGTAAACTTAATAAAAAAAAGTTGAATTACTTGAATTTTATACTAGATTTTAATGAAAACTTAGACAAAAATACGAATGTTTTTAGATTATTTTTTTTTTTTTAAGATTTATACAAAAAATTGAAATATCTTTGAATTTTATACCAGATTTTAATGAAAACTTAGACAAAAATACAAATATAATTTCTTAATCACCATGTTAATTAATATATTAAATTCCTTTGATTGTGTGATTATTGGTTGATTATAAACTAATCAACTTGTTTGATCAGATTATTAAATTTTGATTGTTGTTATATAATTTAACAGCTTGGAATTAAATGTATAATGTTTATTATTAAATGAAATTCCTGATTATCAAAACACAAGCTGATATGAGTTGTCTCAAAGCCCACTTTCCTCATAAAATGGGGCATGTTTGTGCGGCTCCTCATAACCACAATGGAAGACGACAACTGTATATGGTGCCACTCTCTGGTTAGACCCCGACAAGAAGCAATAGAGTGTGATGTATGTTCTAAATGGCAACACAGAAAGTGCGGAAATAAAGGTAAGTTATTTTCATCATTTATTACTTAAAAACCCACAGAAGAGTAAATTAAAATTTTAAAAAGATTTATTATATACTGACTGAAACGCATATCCAAAAAATGTAACATGCAGAATTGTAAAAGTGGCACTTTGTTATATGGAATAGCCACAGTAGACATAAGCTATTTTCTTTATTGTATCTTAAGAACTGTCCCCATTATTGTATTTAACTGTACATAAAAAAGAAGAGGTGGTATAGTTGCCAGTGAGACAACTCTGTAGAAATGATCGAACTATAAGCAGTTAAAATTGGTTAGCTCTGAGAGTTATCTATCTAGTACAATACAGTCTTTTAGTCTGTTTTTCGTTCTAATCCCCAAATGTGTTAGAAAATGTTACTGTGAAAGACATGTTTATATCTATGTAATACTTTGTGTATGATATATATGTGAATAAAACATAAGGTGTATTTATTGAGAGAAAAAAATAGTAATATTTGATGTTTTGTTAGTTTTTTATACATGAATGTTCTTGAAATTGTGGTAAATAAAGCATCAAAATGAAACATATTCTTTGTTATTCTGCCAACACTACCATTACGCCTACTGGTCATTCACAATACCATTAGACACATCATTAAAAAAGAGGGGCGAAAGATACCAGAGGGACAGTCAAACTTATAAAAAAGACAAACCGACATATAAAAGTACACAAGACACAACATAGAAAACGAAGGACTAAGCAATACGAATCCCATTTAAAACTGAGGGTGATCTCGATGCCATTTCATCTTTCAGCTACTTTTCTAGAAAGCGCGATGCATATCTTCCACTATAGGTGTTATATATATAAGATAATAATGATAATGACCAATCATTTATATGAAATAAAAGCATGGTCATAATCTACAAACAAAGTGCTGAACATTGTATATAAAAAAATTTCATACTTTCTAACTGTTGGTCATAAACAATTTTAAACCTTTAAAACACAATAAATAAATTCTTTCATTAAATAAAATTCCTTTTAGAAACAATAGAAAAATACCCAACTCTATTCCATGTTACTGATTTGGAATGATTAAAAATTTAATCAAATAGTTGTCAGTAAAAGTTTAAAAATGAGTCTATTCAAGGGAGACAACAAAGCCAATCTGCCACGGTTTTCTCTATCCAATTAGACAAGGAAAATTAGCTACATATTGGTCATTGTAATTTCAAATTATATACATTTTACAGATTTCAGAGTTATTGAGTGAAATTAAAGTATATATTCATCATTAAACACCATTTGAATGCATTTAAATAAGTTGGTACGAGTTTACAATGGTATGAATTTACCGTGGTACGAGTTAGCAGTGGTACGAGTTTGCATTGGTACGAGTTTTTTTTTAGTGGTACGAGTTGACATTGGTACGAGTTTACAATGGTACGAGATAACTATAATTCATTCCAACTTGATCAGAGTTTTGTGGTAATAAGCATTATATAATATAAAATTTCATATCATTTGGTTGAGGCAAACCCAAGTTGGAGAATGGAAACGAATTCAGCAGTTCCATTAACGTAAAAGTGCATAACTCAAGAACGGTAAGAGTGACGCAAACTGAATTCAAACTTGATATGTGTTTTGTGGTATTTAGCTTTGTGTTTAAGTTTCATAACATTTGGTTGAGGCAAACTAAAGTTAGATAAAGGGAAACCAATTTCGGGTTGTACGTACGTACACAATGTACTCATGGACAAGGGTAATGCTTTATGCCCCCTCCTCTGCAGCTAATAATTTTTAGACTATGCACTACCAAATGTTTATATACAAACTTAATTTTTCATTCTCAAAGGGTCAAATTAGGAGAGCAGTCTGCACTATTAGCGACTAGTCCAAGCCCCAGACTAGTTAAATCAATTTCAGACTAGTAAGTATTTGCAAATATTTGTTTATACACATAAGAGAATTGTCGGAATATTGGTCTTCAGACTAGTATTTGAAAAAGATTTTGGTGCAGACTGGGAGATAACTATTTATCTCCGTTAACCCTTAATAGCACAGTCGAGCTATATAAACTGAATTGAAGATTTTCTGAACCATTGGAAGGATAGAAAGAGACGTATTATTTTTGTAGTGCTGAAAAGCAATATAGTTCGGAGTGTTAAATAAGGATTTTAGCAGCCTTTCTTTTGTGCATGTAAATATATTTAGAATGAATATTGTCTTAAGTAGCAGATGAATTCCTTTATCTACTGACATCTATATCTTTCGTCGACGAACATGCAATGTTTGCAAACAAAGAGGTCTAGACAAAAGTCGCCATATTGAAAATGTAAACCGGAAGTACAGTTAGAGGCAAGTACGAGGAGAGTACCGCAAATTTACTATAGCCTCAAGGATTAGTAATAAATCCTTGGTATCCTGAATAATGATATTTTCAAAATATTTGTTTGTATGATATCATAACCAACTAATTGATTGTCTTAAAATCTACAATTAACTATTTTATTATTTTTTTTTTGCACTCAATATTAAAGATATATATCTAATAAGCCTGGACGTAATATTTAAACCTTAATATAGGCCTTTATACTCAACATGCATGAACTATTTGCCGCTGGACGTTAAACAACCAATCAATAAATACTGCTAGGGAATGATGCAGGTAAAAATTAAATATTCAACATTTTCAACTAATATGATTATCACCCTGTGATGACAGAATACAATCTTGGACTATTAATAGTCCCAGACGAAAATCCAATAAAAAAAAATGTTTTTTTCTTTTTCTTATGGGATTAAGAAATGGGTTGCATGAATCACCAATGACCTTGAACTTTATTGGCTAACTGAACTACAAGTGTTAGCTTTCTAAAAAGGTTGACCGACTTTAGCATCTGAAACGATTTTTGTACAGAAATGAAAGGATTTTCAAGATCCAAAAAGCATAGTTTTTTGACAGAAATTTAAAGGTGTTTCAGTAAGCAGTCGTAATTAATAGTTTTACCGAATTCTCTTGCATTGTCATGAACAGGATAATGATTATGCCTAATTTTACTTTATAAATGTGTCAAAGAAACACAAACAGTGGGAAACCTAGAGAACGGAAACAAAAGAAAATTCACTCTTCTTGAGAAAATCTGCTGGTGACGATACTGATCAAAAGTTATTTCTAAATAACAATTGTACATTTTAAAGAAATAATTTGTTAAACTGTAAGAAATATACACACAAATACACGATGTTTTATGTTCAGTATTTATCGAGACAATGAAATCTGAAAAACAGGGGCGTTTCTAGGATATTTGAAAGAGGGGGCGTAGAATCAAATTTTTCGGCGAGCGGAGCGAGGCGAAAATTTTTTTGGACCTTCTTTTTGCTAAAAAAACATAAAATAATTGTGAAATGCATAAATTGCCATATTCAATACAATATTAGCAGATTACGAAAGTTTGTTTTTTTTAAAGGGGTACGCCCATTACGCCCTCACCTGGACCCGCCCCTGAAAAATGTTAATCTTTGCTGCATACTGATAAAAAAAATTGGAAAAAATCATGCAAATACAAAATCTAAAGATCTTTCGGGTCACAATTTTCAGAGCTAGTGTTCCACAAAGTCCTTAGCATGTTACAATTTCCCAAAATATACTTATTTTTCACATCTAAGTTTTCAAGTACACCGGTCTGCTTTTCACATGAACATTCAATATAAGGATATTGTCTATTCGTGAATATAACAATTTAAGTCTGTGTCAGGTTAAAAAAAATTTAAAATAAATATCTTTATAAAGTAGTATCGTGTTACTATTTTTCATACAATTTAAAAGAAAGGTCGACTAGATTTTTGTACATGTATTTGCGGTCTTCTCGATCTATTTACATTCAATTTTTACACCGGAATAAGGTCCGTTTGAATTTGCTCATTAATTTAATTTAATTTCAAAAGTGTTAATCTTTGCTGCATATCAATCGATTCCTTTTGAATTTTTGCCCAACTTTCTCTGATCTAGCTGGATATGTATATACGGATAATTAGCATGTTCCAGAGAGGTATACATCCAGTAGAAAAATAAATTGAAGTTGGTAGTCCAGGAATTTATTCGCATAGCAACATTTTAAACCAATTTTACACCAAGTTCCTATAGCCAGCTGTAAGGAGGGAAATAATAACATAAAATGGAAGTTTTTTTCAACTTATTTCTATTTTTACTATTTACCAGAACGCACGGTTTTCCCGTCAATTTATAATTGATAGCGTCCTTGCTAAAATGGGACAAACATTGAAAAGATCTAGTTTTTAGTGTTTACAGGGGGTAATATTTTGCCTCTAGATTTTGCACTGCAAATACATTACTAGTAAGAGGTGCACTCAAACTTTAGAAAAAATATAATAGGAGAATGTTATAATGTTTTTCAAACACACCTAGTCTGTTATGATAACTTTGCAAATGCTATTATATCAACATGTAGCCTTAAATAATAAAAATAATGTATATCTGAAGCAAGATCATATATTATTTGTTTGTGTTTTCTACCGGTTTTAAGTACAAAGCAATGGATTTAAAGCACGACGCTTGAAGGTCAAATTTGTACATGACTGTCTCTTCACATCGCAATGTTTGCCCATTTTAAGGATTTTCCTCCGGAAAACTGTTTTATAATTTTGTGGATTTGTTTCTCAAGAAAATCAATGATTATGCATCTTCAAGAAACAATATGATTTGAACCTACCGAAAGCAGTTGTTATATATATGTTTAAAGTAATTAGTATGAAGCTAAACTATAATGTATTTTCTTTATTAAAGTCAATTAAATAGTCACAAAAAAAATGTATATCACATATAAACAATCTAAAATTACATAGCTGTATAAATTAAACAAAGAAATTCAAACACGCAAATTGGTCATTTTTTATAAAGAGCCCGTTTCTTTTGTTTAATTTCAGCTGTCATATGCGTATATCTGTCAAAACTGCAAATAGCAAAAATGATTAGCAATGAAGATCTACAACTCCGTGCCATTTAATGATTTCTATATTTTTTTAAGCGTTTTGGTATTACAGTAATCCAAAGAGAAACAGTAAACAGCCAAACTTTAAAAGAAAACTGCAAATCATTCTAAATCTAGATCTGAATATATACAGACCCCATGTCCACGCTTTGTTCAATCTAATGACTGTTTTGGGGAGAAATTGAGCCATTCGATTTGTGGGAGGGAGGATTTTGAAATTTGTTATCTTATTTTTTTTCACGTAAATATCAATATTGTTTAATCGGGCTCTTGTGGCCTCTAGTTTAACACATTTATCATACTTTGTGGTGGAAGAATGAATCGTTTGTCGCAAACCATTTGATCTCTTAGACGTTACGCACGTTATTGAGTTAATGTTATATATTTTTTTTTTCATACACACCACAATGATAAGCAACTCTGATTAAAATTCACAGCATATAAGCTATGTTATCTTTATATCTACAGATTCAGTAGGTATAACCGTTTCTAGAAATCTATAAAACAATATCTCATATTTTATTAATGGTTACCGATACAGACGAAACTATTATCAAAACGTAAGACGTAACAGACTACATTTGGTCTCTTGTGGAGAGTTGTCTCATTGGCAATCATACCACATCTTCTTATTTATAATATATATATACGCATAAATATCCTTTACGGATGTGTTTGCTCTCTTCTGAAAAATGTGGAAATTTGCAGGAATGTTCTATGGCACATTTCGTTTATGATTTCATTAGCGATTTTTTTTTGCTAATTTAACGACCGAACCGATTTTTTGTAAAAATTAAGAGTTTTCACCGTGGTCAGACTTTAGAAAATGTTATGAAGACATTTGCGGTATTGATGATGGTCTTATCGAAAAGTTAGCTGAAAAAGACATGGTTGTTACGGTTTAAGCAGAGGATCCAAACTATGAATATTTTCTTTTAAAAGTAACAGCAAAACCATAAACAATCGAACAAAGTATTTATATGACTTGCGCTGTTCATTCGACAGAGTTTTGAAAGTTGTCAAAGGGCTCTAATATGATTGGATTAAAATATGAAAACTGTGACGACGCTTCTTTTCATTCAGTTAATTTATTATCTTTCCTTGATTGCACAATGTTCATCTTGCTCCTTGCATTCTTATAGAATGTGCATTTCTCAAGTTATAAAAAAGAGATGTGGTATAATTGCCAATGAGACAGCTATGCAACAGAGTCCAAATAATGTGTATTTAAGCGATTTCAACAATGAGAAAAATCCATACCGCATAGTTTCTCAAGTAAGTTCGTTAATTTTTAAAAGTGTAAGATTTTCATGACTTAAAATAATCCAAAAATAGGATTTTGTATTGATGGCAGATATCTGATAGCTTCTATCTGATAAATTATTCAAAATTGATAGTAGATCTTTGATTGTTAAACTTATTTTCAATTTTTATAGATTGCCGATGATTTTGTCTAAGAACTTGACATAAAATTATGTAGTATTATATCTGTATGAAAATAAGACGATGTGATATGATTGCCAATAAAACAAGACAAAATGACGTAGAAGAAAGTAACTATAGGTCACTGTAAGGCAATCAACAATGAGCAAAACCCATATGTGTATTGTTGAGTACTGTATTTTGTCCTTTATAAGTCGTTTTGTTACTTTTGTCGTTGCGATATATATACTTCTTTCATTCATATTTAGATATCATCCCCATGTATCATTATGACCCTCATGATTACTTGACCTTTGACCTCAGGATCAAAATATTCGATTTTGGGGACGTTTAGTGTCCTGTACATAACTTTTTTTTTAAATAGGGTTATGATATTCGGTATACGAGTGCACCACCACAAGACGATTTGCAGGATTATATGAAGGACGATCTCTGACATTGACCTTTGACCTCAGTGTCAATTAATTAATTACTTAAAACTTTTATTAAATTGTTTTATAGATACAAAGATTTGGTTTGGGAGTTTGGTTGTATCCTTTGAAATCTTATTACAAACGGGCGGTAGAAGAGGAGCTATTCTTTCAAGAGTCATATGATTTGTTACTTTTGGAATTAGACAGAAACGGATATTATTTTTTATAAGAGTCAAATTTAAACTTTTAGTCATTTTGAGAGAGAGAGAGAGAGAGAGAGAGAGAGAGAGAGAGAGAGAGAGAGAGAGAGCAAAATACAAAACTGATTGCGCCAATGTGTTCTTATGTAATCAGGGACATATATACGGTACTATATGTTTTCAATGTAAATATGAGGCTTTTCCCGACGGCATTGTAGCCACCTGCATGTTTATTGTTTAAGACCATATGGTGACCTCTAGATGTCTTTGGGTAGC